AAAAAAAAATTAGCTGAGGTACTAACTGAAGAGGAAATTCAAGACATTTTGGGCAAAAAAGTCGAAATTAATGAGTTGGAAACTCAATTAAATAATATCAAAAAATCTTCAAAGAAGGAAAACGTAGTTGATTAATACAAAATTGGTAAAAGTAAATATATATTTTTATTTGAAATAGTGATTTATATTAGCAATAAATTCGGATTATTTTATTTCAATTAATATATAAGTTTCGTTTTTTTTGAAAAACTATGTAGTAAAAGATGAATACTGAATTGACAGTATCATAATAAGCACACATTTTGTTTATTTTGTTGATATTATTATCAGTTATCTATCCTTCAATTTTTTCAATTACGCACTAATATTCTGATGTTATATTCTATCATTTTTTCATTTTTTTTATATCATTACTATTCTTGCCTTATATATGTAATTTGGTAATTGGTGGGAGATTATTTAAACATTCAGAGGTAGTTTTAAATTACTTGAAATGATTTTAACTACAAGTTTTAGGTTATCAGAAGTTGTTTTAAAGATAGCTCGGATTATATACATATATTAACGATGAAATATAATTTTTCTAATTAAAAAAGGACATTTCAACTTTAGTCATTTAACTACAAAAAGTACCTCGTACTTGAGTATCAAATATCACGAATCGAATAATATAGTTTTATTTATTACTGTTACTAATTTTTCAAAAAAGGGTTTCGCATAAATATCAACTATCAACTCTTAAGGCATTCAAAACGAGTTTAAATAATTTGCTATATCAAAATATTCGTCCTATTGCCTTATAAACCATTATCCTAGAAAAACGCCTATTTTTCCGAAACAAAACATCAATTCCTTCATGATAATAAATTGTCAGATAACGTATGCAGGAATTTGACTCAACCGGATAAATGCCTACGCGTGTCGCGTCAGTCAATCATTTGTCCTGCTGAGTCAAATTACCATTATTCACCGACTTTTGATGAGGCACGAAGTGCCGAATAACTGAGGTATTTGCAGTATAGAGATTGGAATCGATGAGTTTCAAGAATTGATTGGTCACAAACTCTAGATTTTCGAGCATTGGTAAAAAATTTTGGAATGTTCATTGAATTTTTAAAAAATACATAAAAGAATTTAGTATGCATGAAATTTATCAATTATACCACTATCTCTACATTACTTACAGTAATTACAATTTACATGATTTATAATTGCGACATTGCAAAAACAATTTGTACTATTATCGATATATACAATTTAAATAACTTATAATTTGCGCATTATAAAAGTAATCTGAACTATTAATGCTACATTATTTAATACGCATTTACATGACTTTTAATTTGCGATTTATATTATAAAAACAAACAAGCATTAATCCTAGACATCAGGAATAGTAAAATCATTTGTTTTCATATTACACTTTAGAAATATCATTCTGCCAAATAACTTTGGCTTTAATAACGTTCTTTTCGCACCCATAACATTTCCTGCTTCTAAAAACAAGCGCTCACTTGCTGCAGAGATTGCAAGATATTTTCGGGCCATTTCACTTAAAGTTGGAAATTGCCGTTTTTGTAAAGCCCACCACACCATAGGAAGAGCAAGATAATTTGTAATTTGTTGTTATCTTGATTTTGTGAGCCTGATGAAAAAACAGATTTAATGAATCCTTTACGGTAAGCTTGCCTTTCATTTCGATTAGTTGCAGAAACTAATTTAGATGTCGATGAAGTAACTTGTTTAAATAAATAGTGTCGCTCTTTAAATTCTGAATACATAGCGCGTGAAGTTCTTCAACTTGATTTGCTCATTAGACGATAAAACATGTAATCTTTTGCATCTGGGTCCAATTAAGTTTTTTAACAATGTCAGTTTGAAAAAAAATTTATGAAATAAAATTTATAAAATTATTATTAATTAATCAATCAAAAACTTATCATTACCAAAACTTATATATTATAGTTAAATTTTAATTTGACTGATGCTCGATGATTGACTGAGTTTAAAACTCATTGAATGAAGTTTATTTCGATGCCCGAATAATTATTCACCGATTCCACTCTCTCTGTGTTGGTTTTCTGGTTCAAGAATTATTGCAGCTCGAGCTTTCTATGTTTTGACTATTAAACTAGTAAATTATATTTTGTGAGGGTTACTATGCGTTAATTGAAGATATTTAACTGTTTTCGTAGAGAAATTTAAATTACTTTTAAAAATGTGGCTATAATTTTCACATGCAAGACGTTAAGAAAATAAATGCAATACTGATTAAAAGGTAATATGTGCGTATGTTTAACTGTAAAAAAAACCTCCATTTATATAACTTTAAATGTTAAAGCTTTCAATCTAATTAGTTACGATAAATTTGAACTTTTATTGTAGTATTTTTCAAAATTTAGGCCTTATATGTAACTATTATAACCTTGAACCCTTATTTGTAATTATTTTCATTTTTCGGGCCCTTATATGTAATTTTCCCTAAATTTTACCGTATTGGTAACTTACCAGGTATAAGATTGACTTGTAACTGTAATAACCTATGTACTAATTTTAAACTGAAAATTAATGTGTCTTAGTGATGGACTTACAAGATCTATATTCATTTCCGTCAACCTTACATTAATTAAGTTTGTTGGAATTTGCCGACAATATATCTCCCTGAAATTGAAAAGACGGATGCAAGGCATTCATTTATTATCTGGCATTTCGAAGTTTTAGTTGAACTGCCTTTTTTTTTCTTTATCGTTATTAATAGATTCACGTTTTTATGAATTGTCATGTAGCCAAAGTCCTCTAATTGCTAAAGCTTTTTGAAAAGACTTTTCTTCAGGTACTATAGCCTTTAATCGACTTTCGAATCAGATAAATTGTAAGGTACTGTAAAATCACAATAAGTTTTATCGGTAACTTACCAGGTATAAGGTTGGCGTGTAATCATAATAACTCATGTACTAATCCGTTGTCCATTTTAAAACATGAAAATTAATGTGTCTTTGTGATGAACTTACGAAATCTACATTTATTCCAACAACCTTACATTTCTCGATAATAGACAAGATATGACCATTTGGATTAATCAAGTTTGGCAGAATTTATTGACAATCTACCATGTAATGTTGGATATTTCTATATTTCTGGAAATGGAGTTGAAAAGATGGACGCAATGCATTCATTTATTATTTGACTTGGAACTGCATCGTAATCTGGCAAAATGGGATTTTGATGCGGGATTAGAAACGCATATGGTGGGCTTGTCTTGTGCTCTATTCGATTACTAGAAAATCACACTTATGAAGCTTGAAAACATCATTGGATAATAAGCCTAAAAAACATTTATTAATCTCATGTAAAGTAAGCTATTCGGGTCCTTGAATAACTTTGTTGCCAATGCTTCCTATTGAGTAGGAGTATTGCGCAACAAAAATATTCAAGAACCCGATAGATTACTTTACATAAGAGATTAATAAATGTTCTCTAGGCAGTAGAATCTACTAAAAAAAACTATTTTGAAAAAGATATCAGACTTTCCTCAGGTTATTTTCGAAACAAACAAATTACCCCCAATTTTTTTGCACAATAATGTATACTTAGCGGTCGGTTACAACACTACCAAAGTAAACATCTATTTTGTCAAAAATCACTTATTTTTTCAAAAATTTGCATAAAAATCCTCCCTTTATGCAATAAAAAAAGATTTCCTTGAGAAATTTTACTGCAGATGACGTTTAGTCTCTAACTCTACCTGATCTATACACTAATCATAATATAAACGAACTTAAGGAGTTTTTTTTTTAGGGATCACTTATAATTGACATTTTGAAGATATGGGAAGATTATCAACACTTGTTTTAACCATTTCCTAATGACCCCCAATGATCGTTGTTATAACTTGACCATTGGTGGAATTTCATTATAAAATTTTACTTCGAAATAATTTAAAACCTTTTTGAGTGGTGATTTAACCAATATAGTTATGGTTTTTTGACTTATCAAATAAACCATCTCAAATTATATTCATTATATGCTGAAAAGGGAAAAGTCACTAATTATATAGATAATTTTATATGTAGAATACTGTTTATACGTACGTACGTACGTACGTACTTATGTTTTTTTATTTATAAGTTAAGTATGTATCACCTGCAGAAACAGCCATGATTTTATTTCTTTATTTGGGACATTGTAATAGGATACTGCAAGAGCATCATGCGCGCTATTAAAACAAGTGATGCAAATGGTAAATATTTTATTTGTTGCAATTGCTTGGTAAAATGCATCACATAGTAAAATTTAAGCATGAAATTTTTTTTTATTGTAACATAAAAAGTGATTTCCTAGGCAAAATTTGATTTACCAGCGATTTTTTGAAAAAGCCTTCGATTTCACATTACCGTTACACAAATGTTACTTTTTTGAAATTGTATCACTTGCAGTAATAAGTATGCTGTATTGTTTATTTGAATTGTAATATATAAATGAACACTTTTTAAAAAGATTCATTAACGTTAAATTTTTTTTAAAAAAGTTTTGTAAAAATGGTAAATGCGAACGAGTGGCTGAATAAAAAAATTCCGACGAATGAGAGGGGACGAGCAGAAACTCTTAACATCTACAGCAAATGTCAATGCAAGTTTGAAAACATACTACAATACGGTCAACCTGCAACAAATTCCCCTTCATTTGAACCTTTTGGGGCGGCTCAGGTTAATCCACTTTCATTCGGTCAGTCCTCATCTCCAGTGCCGCTGTATGACCCAAGGATTTATCCTCCAATTTCTGCACGAAACTATCCTACGACACCGTATAATCAATATGGATACAATAATTATAATAATTATAATAACTGTCAACTCTGCGATTATAAGGATCAGAATAATTGTTACCTCGTTCCGGATTATAAGTTTTGTAATGTTATTCTGGAAGGAGAGCTAGATCTTAATGACTTTGTTAATTTGAAAAAGCTATTTATTGAAGGTATTGAGCAAAACAACCAACAACAAAAGTTAACTAAGTTAAAGGTGGATAAATGTATTCAGTTAACTGACATTACGATTAAGCATACAACTCTTGGTTTTATAAGTATTGGTAGTAAACCAAACTTGCAATACGCTCTTTTCTCTGGTAATAAGCAAATTAGTTTTTGTGATAGAGTATTTAACTATCGAGGTGTATTGAACAATCAAGGCGATAATGTATTTAACAGTCAAGAAGAAATATTAAAAAAACAAGTAGCAAGATTAACCAGTTTGATCCAATCTACTAAAGCTACTAATCTTAATAATTTAAAATCGGAACTTAAGAAAATAAAAGAAGAAACCTTTGAATACCAGTTAAAGATTATTAAAAGTCGTTTGAATGATGATTATCAGTTTTGGTTGGAAAGTTTAGTAGAAGCACATCAAGAAGTTTTAAAGGTCAACAGCCCTTTTGCTCGTAAACAATTAGAACAAAGTAAAAAAAAATTAGCTGAGGTACTAACTGGAGAAGAAATTCAAGACATTTTGGGCAAAAAAGTAGAAATTAATGAGTTGGAAACTCAATTAAATAATATCAAAAAATCTTCTTCGAAAAAATTGACAGTTATGAGAAAACGTAGTTAATTAATACAAAATTGGTAAAAATAAATATACATTATTATTTGAAATAGTGATTTATATTAGTTATAGATTCGGATTATTATTCAATTAATGTATAAGTTTCGTTTCTCGAAAAACTATCTAGCAAGAGATGAATATTGCATTGACATCTCAGTAAGCATCATAATAAGCACACATTTTGTTTATTTTGTTGATAATATTATTAATTATCTATCCTTCAATTTTTTCAATATGCACTAATATTCTGATGTTATATTCTAACATTTTTTCATTTTTTTATATCATTGCTAATCTTGCCTTATACATGTAATTTGGTAATTGGTGGGAGATTATTTAAACATTCAATTGTAATTTTAAATTAATTGAAATGATTTAAACTACAAGTTTTAGGTTATCAGAAGTTGTTTTAAAGATAGCTCGGATTATATAAACGACGATTTTTTTTGTATAATTTATATAATTTTTTTCTAATTAAAAAAAGACATTTCAACTTAGGTCGTTCTCAAGCGTCAATCTCAATGTGATTAGCAAGTGATCATAATAGTGCTCAAGCATAATAATATTACAAAAAATTTTTGCTGAAAATTTAAATACGTAATTTATAACGTAATTAAAATCTTCTCAAGTACCGATTTCAATGTGATTAGTGAGTGATCGTACTAGTGCTCATTTATTACGATCAATCAAAATAATCATTGAAGTCGATACTTAAGCAGTCTCCTATTGATTTCTATTATTGAACTTGGGCTTCTCGATTTTTTTTTACTCTCCATAAAAACTTTTAATGTGAGAAGTAAAATAATAATTCGTTGCTGTCGAAAATGATATCCATGGCAAAGTTTCTTGAGCGATCTCTATTGATCGTAAAATTTTAAAAAGCAGGTATGAAAAAAAGGTGGTTTGTTGTAAAAAGTTTGTTGGTTGAAATGAAAAATTCATTTAAAGTCTTTTACTGATAAAAATGATTTATTACGTAATAAACTTTATTAATTTACTCATTATTCATCGTAATGATAAACACGCTTAATTAATTTTAAATATTTTCCGCTAAGTAAAATTTATTCCCCGACATTTTTTGACTCATTGATTGAGGCGCTTGAGAGCGACTTTAGTCACTTAACTCCAAAAAGTGACTCATATTTGAGTATCAAATATCACAAATCGAATAACTGAGGTATTTGCAGTATAGAGATTGGAATCGATGAGTTTCGAGCATTGATTGGTCACAAACTCTAGATTTTCGAGCATTGGTAAAAAATTTTGACCATTGTTCGAATGTTTATTGAATTTTTAAAAAATACATAAAAGAATTTAGTATAGCACAATTTAGGGAATGGGGCACGAGGGCGTGATTCTTATTCTTCACATGGGCACGCGGATGTGACACTAAAACATCACATGGAAATAAATAATAACATGTGACATTTTGTTATTTATTTGCACGTGAAGTTTTAGTGTCACGCCCCATGCCCAATGTGATGATTTTCCGTGCCCTATTCCCTTACCATTATCTCTACATTACTTACAGTAATTACAATTTACATGATTTATATTATCGCATATACAATTTAAATAACTTATAATTTGTGAATTATAAAAGCAATCTGTACTATTAATGCTACATTATTTAATATGCAATTACATGACTTTTAATTTGCGATTTATATTATAAAAACAAACAAGCATTAATCCTAGTGTAATAAATAAAATTTTTTCTTTTTTATTTTTATTAGTATAGTTTTATTCTTTATTATTATATTATTATTTATGTATATAGTTCTTCTTCGTTCTATTTTCATAGCAGTAACCGACTTTTTTGTAAATATTTTAATTGAGTATACTAAAATAGTAGCTTGGTGGCTTATTCCATGCAAGAGCGTATACGCGCTTACACAAAATTTGTTGATCTCTGCGCCATGAGCGTAAACGCTCAAAAAAGAGCGTACACGCTCAAATTAGAGCGTATACGTCCAAAAAGAGCGTAACGCTCTAACATAACAAAATGTATATAAGTGCTTGGAATATCAATAGAGAACGATCATTATTCAATTCTTGTCCACTTTCACTCCAAAAATAACTAATAAAGAATATATACTTATCTGAATTTTCCCTTGTGTATTATCTATTGAATTCGACTTGTAACTTTAATAACCCTTTTGAGACTCAATTCGACGGACTGAATTGACTTGTAACTTCGATTTGGCTTATTAAGACTCGGATTCTGGAACGGTTGTGGAATCAGATATTGCCATTCACATTAGTGACTTGCGGGAATTGTGGCAGAGAACGAACCTCACGATTGGTTAATTCATCACGTGAACTTAAAGTATCATCACAGTCCTTAAAATCACCACCCTTAACAGCATCACCTGTAGTTGCTTCACCTCTAATCATCACTCTTATTGTCTAACTAGTCCTCTATAAATTATAAAAGACTCATTTCACTTACCCAAAGTTAGCCTTATTATCCGTACACCGTTGGAGTTAGATTGTCAACATTTCTGTCTTATTTTATTAGCTCCCCCATTCAACCCATATTCTACGGACAGAGCAGAATCATGTGATTAGTTAATTAGCGGTTAGGGACAGAGCAGGGACAGAGCAGTTTTTATAGTATCACGTGATTCTACTCTGTCCCTAAGCTCTGTCCGTGGAATTTCCTCCCATTATTACGTCCAAGGGAGAGACTTTTTATCGATAGCACCAATTTAGTTCAGGAACGTGAGCATAAAAATGAGAAACTGAATACTTTATTTACGAACTCAAGGCACTTTAAAATACTAAACAAATATATTTATTGTGTCCGACACTAATAGTACCACTATCTCTATTCCTACTAACCAACATAGTACAGTCAGGGAATATACCAAATTAGGAAATCACATTCTAGAATGATCTACGAATGGATTCTTGAATTTGATTGGCTCTCACGTGCCTTTTACCCCTCAAACATCGTTACATTTTGAAAAAAAAATTTTGAGTAATTATTCGAATCTAATAAGCTTCAAACATGTAGTTGAAGACGTCTAGTTTCAATAATCAA